GATCTCGACAAGAGAAATGTGGGGGCATCAAAGAGCAATTTACAGGTGATCAGTGTTGGGCGTGTGGAACTGTAAGCGTGTTATTTATGGCCATGGAAACTTGCTTAATGGTAACAATGGAGGAGTATCCTCTTCCCCTTCTTCTCTCCTAGTTTGTATCAGATGAGTCCTGAGACTACACTCTTTTATCTGATTCGCGCGAACAAAACTCTGTTTCAATTGATTTCACAAAAATCATTTTTCAATCATTTACCGGATTGTGTTCGTTACCTGCATGATCGCGGTTGAGGCCAGAAGATCTTCGCATTTCCCTTGCATAGAACTCTCTTTTGTAACGACAACAGCGAGTTCCGAGACCATTTTATTCATCTCCTCCACCTGCAAATACAATCATACAGAGCATTGCACGTGCACTTGAGAGTTATGTCAAGAGGATAAATTTGGAAATTTGATTTCATTTAAAAAGGGTCTCACCTTTGAGAGTAAAGACCAAATGGACGATCCCATAGCCTGCATTACATCGAGGGCCGAGGACATAGCTGCTTTCAAAGATTCAATGTCCGCCTGTAGGAAGAGATGTTCTAAATGATCACTATATTCTTGATCCTATGAGTTTAATTTCCACGAATATTCACAATAGTGACAATATATTACCTTTGTTCCTCCAGTCGCTGGAAGGCGGAGAGTATTTGCTTCTAAATCTGCTATGGCTCCAACTAAAGAACTAACATGGTCTCTTTCAAGTGTGGCCCAATCTTCAAGGCTCACCATCTGTGAACATATTTATGCATCAGAATGGCATAATCTGATGAATGCAAAGTCAGTGTTCAACAGAGAGAGAACCTGCCTGATCGTTTAATAGTGAGTTCAGTTTGATCTCTAGCTTTAGCTGTTGCAGGCCAACCCTCTGGCTGGTCACATCATCTTGTAGGTCTGATATCGCATGCCACACATTAAATAGAGTTTCCTGATATATCAAAACTTATAATTTTCAGACTCCTTTGATCAATTAGTTGAACCAACGATCATGTTATAGAGTACAGAAGTATTACATACCTCGGAAGTTAATCGTTGAATATACATTACAGCTTCAGCTCGGGCAATTGCAAACCGCCACTGTAAATATCGATTGTGGAGCAGGCGCAGTTGATGAACATCTTCGATGTAGCTTGCTTTTTTGCCTTTCTTGACATCTGTGATGAAGCTGAGAACCGAAGTTGTGGTACTGGATTGTGTACATGTGCTGGTTTGTCTTATCCGTGAAGGACTTACCCCTCTTGAAGGTGGAGTTGATGGTCTCGCAAAACAGGAGGAATTTGTGACACGCGAAGGACTTAACCCTCTTGAAGGACTTACCCCTCTTGAAGAACTTAAACCTCTTGTAGGACTCAATCCTCTTGAAGGGCTTAGTCCTCTTGATGGACTTACTCCTCTCGAAGTACTCATGCCTCGGGAAATAGACGATGAAGATGAAAACGATGGTCTACTTGGTGAAGCAGGTCGGGAACCAGGACCAGGCAATGGATGCAACCTAGCTACAGTCGTCGCTAAGGTTGCTCTATCTAACGAACTTGCAGACAAAAGTCTTTGAGCCCCAGAAGTTCTAGCTATGTTATTATCTTCCGACTTTGTTGGAGACAATAATCCACCATTACAAGATGCGTTACTAGAAGTTTTATGCAAGGTTTTCGAACCGCTGGGCAAAGGTAGTGACATTCTTCTAAGAGACGGCCCCATTCCAGTCCCTGAAGTTGATAGACCCCTTGAAGCCTTGTCGCCAAGATCCAAGCTTCGGTTTAAAGAATTCGAAGAAATCTTTCCACCAATTCTACTAGGCCACCGATGCTGCTCTATTAACCGACTATGAGGACCATCTACAGGTTTTGAATTCTCCGAAAGATCAGACGCATTATTCTTCCCTTTCAATGGACTTCTTTTCCTCTCTGGCGTAGGTTTCCTTGATATAGAGGTCGTTTCAGCCTTCTGCTTTTGAGCTATATTCGAAGAAGGTCTCAACGTACGATCAACAGAAGAACTACTAACCGGTTTCTCCTTCTTACTAGCAGGGACTGAGACTGAATCCGACTGAAACGAAACGCTGAGGCTTCTCATAGTGGAAGGCCATAAGCTTTCAGGCAAACGACCTGTAGATAGCCTCCTAGACGAAGCTGGTAAGTCTATAGACGCATCACGTATCGGTGTGGAAGGACTAGTCGGAGATGGCGGAGTTGAAGGACGCTTCCTCTCTGCTGAAACGGCTCTTTTTGCAGCCACTGATTGAGAGCTAGAAGACAGTGTTGGCCTTGTGACGCTTGGGGAAGGGCATCGTCCGGTTCTGGTTGGCGTCGGTGATCTGTATCTTGAACTGATCTCTGTTGTTCGAGGACGGCGAGTGACAGCGACTCCATTGTTCTTTTCTAATGGAACAAGACGTCGTCTAGTAGTATCGGTTGCTACATCCATTCAAGCTACCGAAACAAACTTGCATTGATTGGATTTTTCAGCAGTTCAAGCTTCTCGTTTCAATCTGCATTTGATGACCCAAACAATGAATACAGCTCCAGTTTCTGTAAAGTAAGTCCCTTTATTCTGCAAAACCCAGGAGAAAAAGTAAGATACTACCACACAGATAGACAATGTGAAAGAAGAAAAGAGAGCAAAGGATATTGAACAGTTCCAGATAAAGAAAAGTTAAAACAGACAAAAAGAGAGAGAAAGGTGAGTTGAGTTCTAACTAGTTAGTTGCAGTTTCACAATATCAAGGATATATTTTTTTTTTTTTTAATTCCAAGTTTTCCAGAGGAAGAATCTTTTCCAGTGTCCTTATCACGGAAGTGCCATGGTCGGATGTGCTGGAAAATTAAATGGACCAA